AGTATGTGGTCAGTAGTAGATGCGTTTGGGGAATGTAGAGAATGATACAATAGTACAACAGTTATGAAAAAGGAGGCTTATCCTGAAAGTTATACATGTGCCTAACTTTACTCATACGTGCCTAAAACCTACTGCCTAAATCCTACAAGGTTAAGCACCCAAGTTTAGCACATCTGCTTTACAAGTAATTCTAATAACCTTAGTCAAATTGCTGCAGACTTATACCAGTACAAGAAAGAGGAATTGGGTCAAACACCTTTAATCACAAAGGTAAAACATATAACTAAACATTACCTCTAGCTGCTTAAGAGCAAAAGGACCACCATCCTTCTTCAAATTCTGGATGATTTCTTCCATGCTGCTTGCTGAGAACGTACTGGAAATAAAAAAGTCTTATATCAGCACATGCAGGGTCTAATTCACCTTCCTTTCCCATGCAAAATACCAGGCACTTGGAAAATCAGAAAGAAAATTTTCACTAGACCATTAAGTTTATTCCCTACAATATTATTTGTCCACTTTGTGCAGTCTGGTCTCAAACACCTCAACCATTGATGTTTCCACCACTCCACTCTGGTCAAGCCTATTAACATTCTAATAAACCTCAGTTATGAATACTGGTATTCCTTCTAAGAATAATTTACTTAACATCTACAAGAATGCATCAAACACCACATTATCGTCTTCATCATTAACAATTCCCTTTGATGCTTGATGTTTATACCCTTAAAATATTTATAGAATTCTACCTCCTCAGTTGTTTAACCAGCCTATTTTTATATTCAGCTGTTTTAGTGTTTCCTTGGGAGTAAATCCTTTCATACTTTAAATCAGTGACATGATCATGACTGGTTCAGGAACCCCATGAACAGTCAATGTTAGCCAAAGAGCTACAAAAGCAGCACTAGTGAACTGTAGCAAATAAATCTGGGGTATTTGCCATAGTTGTACCCTATTTGATACAGACAATGCATGTGTTGCATTGATCATAATTGCAAGAAATATACTGCCAAAGCATGCAAATAAAACAAGCACTCCCTGCCTCCCACTCCCCCCCACCGAATAATATTTTCTGCAAACAGCTACAGGTGATAAGTTGAAGAGCTACTCTCCAAGTATCATTGCTTAAATCATTTTTGTTGTTGCCCCTGGCCCCCCAATTCAAATCCATCTCTCAACCTCTTTCTGGTCCGTAAGTATCTGAAAAAATGGTCACACGTATAACCTCCTCCAAATAGCCACTGGAGTTAGATATGAGAGGCAAAGATTTTTGCGGATGGTATGTTTTATTGCAACAACTGCATAGCCGGATGGGACACTGACATGCTTTCCAGTACCACAGTACCCAACCAGAGGAAAGGTACTGCAGTGCCCAAAAGTCTCTGTCCCTCTCAACTATGCAGTTGGTCCAATAAAAGAAAAATGGGTGGATTGTTGGGCTCAACATCTAGTTGGCAGCTGGTATTAGACTAAAGCTAGGCCACTGATTTACCAGATGAAGAATGCAGCAAGATGAGATCCTATACTAAGTGGTGCTCAAACTTCCATCCCTGTGGACCAGATGAGTGGCACGGGAATCAGGCACATGGCATTGATGTGTGGGTGCAATATGATATGCCAGCCATGCCCTATGCACTGGATTCAGCTGCAGAGTGGCGCCATAAACCAGACATTTGGCAGCAGGGGAGCAGAGGCAAAATTAATTAATTGACACTGCTCTGGGAACAATTAATGCTAGCCCTTCTTCCCCATTGCCAAATTTCTGGACCTGTGGGGAGCACCATGAGCCAGACAGCATGGCCACGCAGGCCAGAATCAGCCGGTAGGCGGAAGGTTCAGTACCACTGCTATAGTCTTTTCTTTCAAATAGTCTATTAAACATCAGTGTTCGCTGTTACTAGATTTAACTTCACATCTCCCACACAAAAAAGGTGAAGTGATAATGCCTGCTGAATACCTGTTAATCTTCTCCATGTGTTCATCAAGTATGAATTGCTTTTCTTGGTCAATTTTGCACTATTTGAAAAGGAAAAATCAATATTTAATTTAGCACATTCTGTGACTGAAATATTATGATGCACTAAAGAAAAATCCATATTAAAAGCTCAGTTAATGCTTACAGCATGTTATCATATTTAATTACCTTTGTCATTTTATGCTGAGATTTTTTAAAGTCCCATCCCATGATACAGTGATAGTTAAGAGTTACTGTATATGTTAAAGAAGTTCTATAAATATATTTTGCCAGTTACAAATACAGAGGGCACTAATTCAAATATATTTTCAGAGCTGTCTGAAAAGCTGTAAGAAAGGAAAATAAAGATGAAGTGTATCAGATGTTTGGTTTTCTTAGGATATTTATTCAAGAGTTATGAAACTGCCATTAAAAAGTCTTATATGTAGAGCAGAAGACACAATGATTTTCTATTAATATCTTGTCTTTGGAGAAGAATAAAAGCAACTGGAAGGAAGGAAAGAAAAACAATAAGTAGTTTCTATGCAATCTTTGGGATTTTTCTTGTTTATTTTGTGTCCCAATCCCATTCTTCTGGACATATTTCTTCATTTGAGTCTTCCTGCTTGTTTTGATTTATAATATTAAATTACACGGCTTCTTCTAAACTTTAAGATCAATAAATACACAATTTTCTAAAATTGGGATTAACACTGAAATTATGCTAAGATTTATGAACCGACTATGATTCATACAGCAGTAGCCATTACTGTACTCTCTTTCTACTTACTTCCAGTTCTTTTCACATTAATAAAACATTTAGAAGTTTGCATTGCTTGCTACTCATTAAGCTGCTGAATAAGGGGACTACAAGATGTGATGCATTTGAACTACAGTTTATGACAAACATTTTAGACCTGCTGTCATTACAGGGTTTAAGATAAACAGATGTTTCAATGGCAACAGCAGCAGCTAAATCTTGGAAGCAGGTTCCTTGTTATTTCTGTTTCAGTGACTGCCAGCGAGCAGCTTCCATTTCATCACATTTCAGCCTTGCACTTTACTCAGAACGGCAAGAAGTTTTGAGTTGAGTCCCACAGGGGTCTGTACTGGGCCCAGTGTTATTCAACATGTTTATTAAATATTTGGATGCAGGAATTAGGGAACTTATTGAAAAAAATCCATAGATAACATGAAATGGAAAAATTACAACATGGATGACTGGTGCGAATTCCAGCTTGTGAGGGGCTACCTGGGGCCCCCCCCAACCCCCTCACACTCCCCACCCTGCCCCACATATTGAGGGGGTGGGCTGGCCATCGATGTTTATAAATGGGTCCTGGTACAAAAAAGGTTGAGAACCACTGATCTAGAGTATTCTGTATAGTTTTAGGCTTCACATTCTAAAAGTGACATTGAGAAGCTAGAGAGAGTCCAGATGATAAAACTGGTTTGGAAGGCAAACTATACAAGGAGAAAATGAAAGAAATAAGCATGTTCAACTTAGAGAAAAGGCACTAAAGAGAGGACATGACAGCAGTCTTCAAATATCTGAAGGTCTATCATAAAGGTGAGAGAGAATGCCCTTTCCTCCTAGCTGAAGACAGCAGGAAGTAGACCAATGACTTGAAGTTGCAGCAAACTAATTTAGACAAGATATCAGGAAAAACATCTTTCTGGGTAGGAACAGTGAGGCAGTGGCACAGACTGCCTAAGGAAATTGTGAAATCTCCATCATTTGAGGTGTTGAAGGAGAAGTTGGAAAAGCACTGGTCAGGGATGATCTGAGCATAGCTGTGTCTATGCTATATTATGGGTATTTCCCATGCTTCTGGTTGTCACATGCAGCTGGGAAGAAATATTTTCCCCTCTTGCTGTTAAATGTCAGGGGGGGCTTCACATTCCTTAAAAGTGTTGGGTGTTAGCTGCAGTCAAAACTGGGGAGTTTGACCAGGGCGTGCCAATGCTCCTGCTGGGACTAAAACCCAGAGGTTCCTGGCTAGACTGTTTGCCATATTTGGGGCCAGGAAAGAATTTTATTCAATGAGGTCAGATAAGTCCAGATTGGGTGGGGGGGTTGCTTTCCTTTGTGGTGGGGGAATGACCATCTTTCTTGCATCTCCCGAGCATATTTTAACAGCAGGACATCAACCAGCATTGTCCCTCTGCTTTACCTATGGCAGGTTAGAGTGCTATGCTTTGGGGGGGGCAGGGGGCAGGATTACCTATCAACAAGGATTTGGGGATGGTTTGGATAGAGATGTTCCTGCCTCAAGAAAGGGGTCTGACTAGATGACCTCTAGAGGTCCCTTCCAGCTCTGCTTTTCTGTACTCTATACTGCAACATGTAATCTTTCTTGGCTTGTAATTTTCTATTGTTCAGAAGCCATTCAGTAACATTAGGCAAGTTAATTTCTTCCACTTATTTTTCCACTGAACATTCTCACAAATGCTTAGAGTAAAACAGATACTAAACCACCTGGGAATTTCCTATTCATTTGAAAGAATACTGCAAATCTTACTAGAAAGTTTGTAGAATACTGAACAAATTGAACTCAAATTATTGAACCATTTTTAAATGCATACAAAGTGCTACAAGAGTATTTGACAGATACTTGCTGTGTGATATGAATGGAGTAACATTCACCTTCTAAAGTCATTATGAAAAAATTATGAGTTTGAATTTTGGGGAAGTAACAGGATATCTTTGGAAAAAATAAAACATGCAGAATTTAGTCATAACACACACAAACTGTTTTAATGCTGCTTGGTAATATTTGCCAGACTGGGCCTTAAGACAGCAGACAATTGATTGCTGTGCCTCTTGGTCAATTAAATACTTGAAGATTAAATCACATTGCTAGAATCCTGAAATTCCAGATCCCGTGGAGACTTCCCAGTCTGCACATGGTGTTACACTGTCACTCCCTTTTGCTAATGGCTGTGTCCCTTTCCTTTGCATAAGCAATGCTGGAAAAAAAAATCACATTCTGTTTGGGGGTTTTTATAGCAAACAAGCTAGAATTGAAGAGTTTCAGTGTTCAGCTGATGATGCTAGTAGGTGAGAAAAAAGAATCCAAATAACTGGTCTAATTCCATTATCCAAAGTGAAGAAAGGGCAAAAAATAAAACACAGAAAAACAGATTTTAAAATTATAAAATTTAAAATCTTTTACTTTTAACATTAACATTTTGTAATAATGCACAGAGGCTAGCTGAGGTGCATTATAAGCATATAGCAAAGGTATTTATAACATAGATAGGAACATCTTTAGTTACATGCACTGAAAGGGAAAATCCCAAACCTTCTTAATTAAACCTTGTAGTTAACCAGTCAATTACCTTCACGTGATAAGAGTTCAATAGTTCTGCAACATTTTCTTTTGAAGGTGATTTCAGTGATGTCAAATCTCTCTCCAGAGCAGGCAGCTAGCAAAAAAAGAGTCACTTAATAGTCAAATAAAATACCATGCTTGGACTGCTACTACTTTTAGTACTAAACAGTTATGAACTAAAGTCTCTTGGCCTGATGTAAGGAGGTGCTACACAAACAATGGGATCAGCAGCTGTTTAGCACCTGTGAAAAAATGAGCCATGTGGATTGAATTATGCCTGCAATGAGCAGCACAACACCTGGGAGAAAGGCTGAAGTAAGAAACTACAGTCTCCCATGGTGGGGAGCTTGGCTACTATGCTAACTTAACTCAGCATGCAAGAACCTCAGCATCTTGACAGCTCCAGCAATAGTCATGGTCTCCTCTCCTTGCCTACTTTGGAAAGGATATTATCTGTCAGGTAGGTTATAATGTGTCATAAATCCAATGTCTATATTTAGTTCATGATTTTTAGTATCCAGGAGGTTGATGAAGTGAAGTTTATAGGCTCCTCTATGAACTCCATTACCTGACATCATAACCTACCTGACATCTAACTCCCCAGGTACCTCTCCACTATTCATCCCCCTTCTCTCCCCCCACCCAGCCTCTCTCTCATCCAATCTACATCTTCACTGACTACCTATCTTATATGCATACCAGCCCAGCCTCTGGCTTCTTTACTTTTCATTCCATCCAGGAAGAGCACACACCAACTGCTGTAACTTCCTCACCTGACAAATGGGTTTTTGAACCCAAAAGCTTGCTTAAAATTTTTTTTTCCAACTACTTAAGTTGTTCTAATAAAAGATATCAGATTCACCTAAAGAACCTTGTCTGCCTATGTCTTTAGACCAACACAGCTACAACCTACATCACTTATGCAAGACATACATCCATATCTGTTAGAACAAAGATCAAAAAAGTATTGACTATTTTTAATTTTAACAACCTCCTAAGCACAGCTCTCCAAATGGGATTTGGAGTCAGCAACTGCTTCAGCTAGTATCACCTATTCTTGGCTCTCGGAAGAATTCATGCATGGTCTTAAAACATGGTTTTTTTGTAGGGGTAAAAGCTAAGTAGACTCTAATAGGCCATTTTAGTAAATTGAATTCCTACAGAGAGTTAGCATTGTCCGGAGTACTAATGCAATAACTCAATTAATCTGGGTAGCAAATTATTTTTGTGATTTGCTTACAAGAACAGAGGCCTGCAAGACAGCACGCACCCACACACCACATGCTTCACTGGGAAATATATGCAATACAGTGAAACACTATATATACACTGTCAGGCAGTACACTCTATATGGTAAAAAATAGGCTGTTGGAGTTCTTCAGAGTGTTTCTGGTCTAGAAGGACTGTGGAGTTAGAGAAGTTTCGTGGATAGCACTGAAGCTTGTTTGTAGAAAGTTATACTTGGGATAATTTGCTGAGAAACTGAAGATGAAGCTAGATCTTTAAGATACTCCTGTACTTATTTTCTGTGATGCTATGGCTCCTCATGAATTGTAAGGCACTAGAGTCTTTCAAAGGGCCAAACACTACATTCAGGAAGTTTGCATATATTAATAAAGTCACTTCATTTAAGTGTTCAGCTGTGCACACACTTTTCATTTACTGAGATAGACAGACCCTTTTTACTTTAAGGATGGGCTTCAACAATGAGTAGTATATTAAAAAAAAGTAGATGGGATACTCTGGCAAGGAAGAACTGCATATTGTATTCACCCAAATACAAGACAGCCTCAATTATGGGACGACTCCCCAATAATTAGATTCTATACATGGAAAATGTATACTTTTGTTAACATTTTCCAGGTGTAGAATCTGATTATTGGTATTTGCCATGATTTTGTCCCTGTCCAACTGCTAGAGCAGGGAAAATAAGTCTATGGCAGGGGTCAGCAACATTTGTGGGCAGAGTGCCAAAAACACCCATGAACTTGACTTGTAAAATGTTGGCGTGCCTGGGGCAGATGGTGGGGGAGCCACAAGGTACCCAATCCTTGTTGAGGCAGTGCAGCCCCGGCCCCTTCCTTGCCATCTGTCCTGAGGCATATGTGCCAAGCAAAATGCCTTTGAGTGCCACACTCTGGCATCCGTGCCAGGGGTTGCCTACAGCCTGGTCTAGGGGGTCGGGTAGTCCCCTTACCCTGCCCCATCCCCCAACACTAATATGCAACAGGTTGAAGGGGCAACAGAAGCATTCCAGATGAACTCTTTGAGGCCCCATTTGGAGATGTTTGCCAGACATTTATGGATGGTGAAGAAACAGGAGTCACTGGAAATGAGAAAGCAAGGTGCATCTAAGCAACAGGAATGAAGACTAACTCGAAATGGAAGCTACGGAGTGACTCACCATGACTTAAAATGAGTCGACACTGAGGGGGACTGCATGCGACAGGCACTATTATATATTTTATTCGGATGGGTTGTACTAATCCAGCATTTCTCAACCTTTTAAGTAGCAAGTACCCCCTAACTTCTGAAAATTTTAACTAGTACCCCAACTCTCAATTTTCCAGGGGATTTTATATTTACAAACTAATGTGTGCCTTATGTTGGAAGAAGGGCTGTGTGTATAAGGTTGTGATAATGACAGATGTCTGATCTGGTGTGGGTATGGTTGCCACCTTTTACACCATCCACAGGAGGCCTCAAATGCCTCTAGACAAACACTTGTAGTACAGGAAACAAGCAGGAGGAACTCACCCTCCTGCTAGCTGACACCAACCTGGACATCTTCAAAAAGGGGAAGAAGGAGGACCCGGGAAACTATAGGCCAGTTAGTCTTACCTCGATCCTGGGCAAGCTTTTTGAGAAAATTATTCTGGCGCATATCCATGAGGGGCCAGCAGGGAAGATCATGCTTAGGGGCAACCAACATGGGTTCATTAGAGGCAGGTCCTGTCAGACCAACCTGGTGGCCTTCTATGATCAGATCACCAAATCATTAGATGCAGGGGTAGCAGTGGACATCTTCCTGGACTTTCGGAAGGCCTTTGACACCGTCTCTCACCCTGTTCTCATTAAGAAACTGGGGGACTGTGATGTCGACACCCACACAGTCAATTGGGTCGCCAACTGGCTGGAGGGCCGCACCCAGAAAGTGGTGGTGGATGGGTCATTTTCAACCTGGAGGGATGTGGGCAGTGGGGTTCCGCAGGGCTCGGTCCTC